CTCTGCCGTGCGAGCGCCTGCCGCTCACTGGCACTGACCTCCTGGAGTCCATTGCTGTCCGTGCATTTCCACAGGGCTGTCCCAGCATCTGCGTGGTGAATCTCTGTAACCTCCCACAGCAACCTTTAAGAGCTCTTCGTTTATTAGTACCATTCGTCGCTTAGGCCCCGCAGCGATTATCGCGGGTAAACTGAATTTACATCATGGACTCTGGGAAAGTCATATATACCTTTAACGACTGGAGAAGAGAACTTTGTTGCTATTTTAATTGATATGAATTTTGGGCCGGCAAATGACCCGGCGCAGGCAACACGGATCACACATCGTAATGCCTCGTCCCCTGACGTGACTGCGTACCGCGCCCTGCGCATCTCCCACTGGCAGTCCACTCTCTACATGGATTCGGACCACTGCTTAATATCTTACTCGGTGGGGATGGAAGATGGCATTCCGCGAATAGCCAACACGCTGCCTCGGCGGGAGAAAGCCACTTTTGCCCTGCGTGAAGCGGATTGGCCTGCTTTCACCTCGTCGAGTGAAACACTTCTTGCCGCCGCGTCCACATGGTTGGATATTCGCAGTGGTATCTTACGAGCAGCTGAGCGCCATATCCCGCGCGGCAGCCGTGACAGCCCAAAACAATCTGGACAAACAAAATGGAACAAGCCGAGTCCGCTGCAGAAGTAGCATAAAAAGCACACACATTGCCTCTCCCGGAAAAATGCTGCATTTCACAGAATTCATCCGAAAAGGGAGGAACAAAATCAAGCCTTACGCCGTGGCTTCACTACGCTTCTGGAAGTCCGTGTGGAAAAACTTGGGGCTTCATCCAGCCCAAGCTGGCGATATCTTCGCGGCGTGGCGGCGCCGCACCCTCATCCTCTGGAATCGGTTGTGCTCCGCACTGAACCTGGCCGCGTATGCGCTCTGCCTCGGCAACAGGCAAATCTGCTTGTCCGTCATTTCGTGCGGTTTCACGTGCCATACCGCCTTATACTGCTGCTGCTGCCCGCCGCACTCCTTTGGTTCCTGGTGACGTGGACCAACTGACACATGCCGTACGTTAAGGAAGGCACTCCATGGTTTGAAAAGAATAAGAAACCCTGACAATATCTCAAAGAAAAAGAAAAAATAAAATAAAAATAGAAAATCATGCGTCCACATTCTAAGCAAACCAATAATCGATAATAAAAAAAGGTAATGGGCGCACGCAACCACAACACAAGTAAAACAACAAAACAAAAAGCCGAATCGTGGGACAACCAGCGCACACACTCTCATTGCTCCCGTAAAGCAAAACACACACACAGGGAGAGAGAGAGAGGTCGCCCACTCAATGCAATAAAAACAAAACAGAAACAGTTACGGTGCTCCGCCCATGCAGCCAGGCAGGACGGCAGCGGTGCGTGTCGTGCAAAAGAGAGCACCAACGGGCCTGCATGGGTGTGCATGCAATATATACAATGGGCACATTATGTGTGTGCTTCGTGGGATGAGGTGAGGGCGAGAGTCCATGCAAGGGGACACACACAGAGAGTGAGTGAAAGACGAGTGTGTGTGCGGGCGGTGCACGGCTCTCTCTCCCTCACTCTCACGCGGCCACCACCGCAGCAGCAGCCGCACACGCAACAAGAAGAAGAAGCAAAAGAGGGGAGGTGGTGTGGAAGGCCGCGGTGCTGCCGTCACTGTCGCCTGTAGTCTTCGTATGATTTGTTTGGGCGGCGGCGACTGTTTCTGTTGCTTGGGGTGCTGCTTCACTGAGTGTTGTGGAAACTTTGTTTTTGCGAGAATCGGAGTCGTCGTGTGATTTGTTGGGGTTGCGCCGTTGAGCATCATTCCCAGCCGCCTCACTCTGGGCTTCACCACTGCCACTTGTAGAAGTGGATGGTGCTGTATTTCTCGCTTGACTTCCTGCAGATGCATTCATCACCGAATCCGGTGTGGTTGTTTCTTCACCATGTTGCGCTGGGAAAGCCATTTTTAAAGGTGGATCAGGTGCACTGGACTCCGTTTTGGTTTGTAACGGTGACTTATCATGCGTTGATTGTGATGGATTCCGTGAATCTGTTGGTTCTATTGTTTGACTTCCATCCATTGATGATGTTTCTGCGGGTGCTGGTGGTCGTGCTGGCCCTGTTGGTGCAGTTGGGCCTCCTCTTCCTGCCGGTGCTGTTATTTGTACCTGCAATTGTTTTGGCGGTGGTTGTTGCGATTGTGACTGTTGTGTCCCTTTTATTCCTTCCTCTCCTGGAGGAGGCACATCTTTTTCTTCTTCTATTCTTTTTTTCGGTCCTTTTTCTTCTGGAGTTTCTTCGTGAGATTCTTCTTTTTGTGTTGGCTGCTCTGAAAGCCTTTTTTGATGTCTTGAATTTTCACCATCTTCTGCAACGCTTTCCTCTTCTTCATCTTTGTTTTGATAATTTTTTTCTTCTCTTTCTTCTGAAGATGTTCCCGCAATTCTTTCTTGTGATCCTTGACTTTCGGGTACTATTGATCGTGGACCTGATGTGCCTGTTCCTGGCGGTGAAGGTGGTACTGATCCCGGCCCGCCTTTACCGTCATTCGAACGACCACCAGGCGAAACGACAACAAGTGCCGTACCCTCCTCTTCATCACCAAAACCACCGCCGGCACCGCACCACAGCACGCAGAGGGCACACACCAGC